GATGGCCTGTTTGTGTTCACATGGCATTCTACCTGTGTGTGTCTCTGTCCTAATTCCCCCCTTTTTAATAAGGACACCAGTCCTACTGGGTGAGGACCCACCACAGTGACCTCATTTTAACTTGATTATCCTCCAAGACTCTACCTCCGACTAAGCTCATGTTCTGAGGGCCTGGGGGTTAGGATTCCAATGTGAGTTTCAGGGGGAATACAATTCAATTTGTAACTGCAGGAACTCAGATTTGTATGTGAAACGTGCCCACTTACCCAGTTTTATCTAAAATAGTGTTCAGATCATGCAACTTTTGGCTCCCGACAGAACCACGCTCTCAGGCCCATGCGCTCACTGCTCTCGTGAGTGGGAGCGCAAAGGCCCTCGTGGCCTGCAGGCAGCGCTGGCAGTTCCACCCCCAGGTTCTCAGCGTGTGCCCCCGGCCAGTGCTCAGCCCCACCTGGGACCTTGGAAGACGTGCACATTCCTGGGCCTCCCCCACACCTGCTGAATCTGAAACGCTGGTGTAAAGCATGCAAGCTCGGGCCCTCCCAGATTCGGAGGCGCACCGAAGTCCGAGTACCTCTCTTTTGCATCCGCTCACATCCCCAGGACCACTCGGAGAACTGCCTGCTGAGGGAGGTGAGAACAGAGCCAGGTGCTATGACATGTAACGAGCAATTTCAGGTTGACCAGCTCCCCGCCATGCGTCAGGAGGTGCAGAAGCCTCCCCTCCCCTGTCAGCACGAAGCCTTCACGTGCAGGATGGATTTGACAGCTTGTTAAACCATTTCACTTTCTCTCTCTTCCTGGCGAACACCTTATAGCAAAAACTGAAAGAAAAACCAAAGAAAAGTCCCCCAAATTAAAGTCACCATATTCAAGGCTATACTGCTGCTGCTCATAGGTAAATAGATCTTTAAAAAAAAAATCAGGAAATTTTATATATACAAAAAATAAGGACTGTTTATCCTCTTTGGAGAAAAATCCCAAGTTCTGTCATGTTTGGCCTGCCTTTGGGCATGGTAGCCATGCCTTGGAGCCCTCTTTGGATGGCCCCAGGCCTCCCCACTCCCTATTGATAGCCGGCCTGTCGTTTTCTTAGGAGAGAAGATGACAGAAAAACACTTCTTGAGGGCCAACTGGTGATATGGTGATTAAGGCTGCTGGATCCCGTATGGCTGGCAGTGCGGTTTGAGTCCTGGATCTGGTAGCTTGAAAAAAAAATCCCAGGGGACCAGCAGATGGAGTAATGGTTACACTGCTGGACTCCCATATAGTGGACCATGGTTAGAGTCCCGGATCCTGACGCTTCTAACTCACGCCAGGTACATGAGTGTGCATGCCCAAAATCTTGAGAAGTTGACTAGAGGAGAAGGGATTACAACGTGACCATTCCCCTAGGGGGGTGATTTCTCGTTCTCTGTCTCTCTCTGTCTCTCTGACGAGTGTGAGTGCCCTATAGGAAAAAACTCGCTCAAAAAAAAAAAAAAAGAGGGACCAGCAGATGGTGTAATGGCTATGTCACTGGACTCCCATGTAGTTGACTGAGGTTCGAGTCCCAGACCCAGTGGCTTAAACTCACACCGGGCGCATGTGCTTGCGTGCCCAAGATCCCAAGAGGAGAATGGAGGAGAAGCGATTGTGGCATGGCCATCCCCCCCAGGGGGGGATTTCTTGCTTTCTGTCTCTCTGTCTCTGTATTTCTGGCAAGCGCATGTGCCCTATAGCAGAAACCTCTCCAAAAAAGAAAAAGAATGAAAGAAAAAGAAAAGAAAAACATACCAGGCACATGCACATGCATGCTCAAAATCCCAAGAGGAAGAAGAAATGGAGAAGGGATTACGGTGTGATCACCCCCCCATAGGGGATGCTGTCTCACTTTCCCTGTCCCTCTTTCTCTCTCTCCAGTGAGCGCATGCACCTCTAGCAAATCAAAAACGAAAACAAACAAAAAACAGTGGCCAGCAGATGGCGTGGCGGTTACATCGCTGGACTCTCACATGGCCAACTGAACTTTGAGTCCCAGACCCGATGGCTTGAAACTCACACCGGGTCCGTGTGCATGCATGCCTACGATCGCAGGAAGAGAACGGAGAAGAAGAGATTACAGGCGTGGCCATTCCCTCTAGGAGGTGATTTCTCACTTTCCCTCTCTCTGTCTCTGTCTTTGTCTCTCTCTCTCTCCAGCAAGCCAAAGCACTGTAAGGCAAACTTCTAAAACAAAAACAAAAACAACTTGTTTTTATCAAGAGTGGGGTAATCCCAGTGAGAAGGATACAGTTCCTCAGCTAGACTGCGAAGGAATCTAATTCCTTGTGGAAGTGAGCAATATCCCTATGTGTTTCGTGTACAGAGTGTGTTCCTAGTTGAACACAGCTTAATATGCCCTCTGAGACAAATCCAGCTTGCCCCGTTCACTTACTGTGCTCGCCTGGTCCCTGAGAGCGAGTGCTTCTCAAACTCTGAATTCAGGACCTCTTGGCACTCTGAAAAAAAAGAAGTCTTTGTTTAAGTTTTAGTGGGTTATCTGGTTATCTGTACAGTTGCTCAACATATTAGGAATTGAAACTGGAAATTTTTTTCCTTTTTTTTTTTTTTGGAGAGGTTTTTGCTATAGGGCATGTGCGCTTGCCAGAAAGACACAGAGAGACAGAGAGATAGAAAGTGAGAAATCACCCCCCCAAAGGGGATGGCCATGCCGCAATCCCTTTTCCTCCATTCTCCTCTCAGGATCCTGGGCACACACGCACACGCGCCTGGTGTGAGTTTAAGCCACCCGGTCCGGAACTCGAACTGTGGTCGACTACGTGGGAGTCCAGCGACATAGCTGTTATGCCAACTGCTGGTCCTTTTTTTTTTTTTTTTTTGTAATTTGCCAGAATGTGTGTGGTAAGTACCAGAGAGAGTCAGAAAGGGAAAGGGAGAGGGACAAAGCATCCCTAAGGGGAATGGTCATTCCATAATCCCTTCTCCTCTATTGCTCTCCTTTTATCAGGATTTTGAGCACATGCACACACGCATCCATGTGTTTCTCAGGCTGCCAAGGTCAGGATTTGAACCCCAGGGTTGGCCATGTGGGATCCAGCTCCCTTAACCACCAGGCCATGGGCTGGCCTGAAACTGGGAAACTTGTCAAGTAGAAGATACGGCAGCACACAATCTCCCAGTCATCAGAGCAATGCTGTCATCATGTCCTGAGCCCTGAGAAAACGTCACGGTGTACGCGCTCACTAGCCAATGAGAACATGCCAAATGACATCCTGGTAGTTTCCACCTTGGAGAGCCCGGGCTGGAGTCCCTGGATCTTACTTCGGGAACCCTTACCAGATGTTATTAGGCATTTGCGTTTGTTCCCCCTGGTTTTTTTTGTTTGTTTGTTTGTTTTTAGAGTTTATTTTATTTATTTATTTATTTATTTTTTACTTAGGGTGTGTGCCCTCACCGGAGAGACAGAGACAGTGAGAGGGAAAGTGAGAAATCACCCCTGGGGGGATGACTGTGCCGCTTCTCCACCATTGTCCTCCCGGCATCTTGGGCACTCATGCACATGCGCCTGGCTTGAGTCTCAAGTCACCATGTCCAGGACTTGAACCGTGGTCAGTCATGTGGGAGTCCAGCGATATAACCTCTCTGCCATCTGCTTGACCTTGTTTCCCGTGTTTTAAGAAGACTTCGGGAGAGGAAACTAACTTTTATCCCCTGCTGTTGTAACATACATTCCAGGTATTTCAAAGTGGGAAAAGAAGGAGAACAGAAAAATTAACTTCACTAAGATTCCTAGCCTTCTCCAGGACACGCCAGCCCTGCGCATCCCACCAAGCCCTAGCTCCTGGCCTAAGCCCTCAGCAGGGAGAAAGGACAACACGCACACTCTGGTTTGGTGAAAGAACTAGCCATTTTATTTAAGACGAGGGCTGGAGGGTGGCAGGAATAAATAGGGAGAGAGGGTAAGACTGGAGTGGGTGGGGCTCAGGGTAGGAAGGCTCTATAGAAGGCAGCAAATCCCACAGCCTGGTTTTGAACAGCAGTTGCAGCAGAAGTGGCAGACAGGGAAGTGGGTGTCTCTTTTCCCTCGATTCTGGAACAAAGGCTATGGGAGGAAGGACAGTGAGTGGGTGGGCGTAGGTCTCTGTATAGGAAGGCGAGGGGTGTTGGGGCGTCCCAAGAGCTCTCACCGTCAAGCTGGCTGTGGATCGCGCTGAGTCCTGAGGTTGGCGGTCTGCAAGCTGTCCTGTCTGTGCAAGGAGAAGGGGTGTTGAGGATGGCCAGGGGCTGGTAGGGCTCTCAGGTGTGCCCCCATCAACCTGCTCCCTGCAAGTGGCAGCTGACCCCTCTGTCCTTCAGCTGGAAGGCTTTGATTTTGGGGGGTTTTTCCTGGGCAATTCTCTTCCCTAAAAACATCCCAAGTCTCCTTCTCTCTCCATAGCTGTCGCTCTGCTTTGGGGTATCAACCTTTTGCCTGGAGGCCAGCCCCTCCTCCCCGCTTCTTGCCCTTGGCCATCCGTTGGCCACGCAGCAGAATGATTTTTAAGTCTGTTTCCCCATTTGAGACGCCAAGAGGGATTTCCCTGCGTTTCCCTTACTCAGAGGAGAACTGTCTGCGCTGATGCCCATAATACTTCGCATGGTCTAAAGCTTGCTCAGCCCCTGGCTTGGCCTCCAAGTGCCATCTCTCACTTACCGAATGCTTGGGCCCACAAGCATGCCATGCCCACCCTCCCCTTGGGGCTCTGCCATGCCCATCTTCCCCCTCCAAGGCACTTCTCAAGTGTCATTTTCTCACAAGACATTCTTGCTTGACTTACCAGCCCCTTGATTCCAACCACTTCCCACCATGATCATTTGAATAGCGTCGACTAAACACGATTACTTATGTTTGAATTGTTCACTTAATCCCTGAGAGCGAGAATCTCACCTCTCATCTATCTCTTTTTTTTTTTTTATGAGTTTTTTTGCTATAGGGCACCTGCGCTCACCAGACAGAGAGAGACAGACAGAAAGCAAGAAATCACCCTCCAGGGGGGATGGCCACGCCACAATCCCTTCTCCTCCATTCTCCTCTCGGGATCTTGGGCACGCATGCACACACGCCCGGCGTGAGTTTAAGCCACCCGGTCCGGGACACAAACCACAGTCAACTAATGGGAGTCCAGCAACATAGCCATTACGCTAACTGCTGGTCCCGCTCTCATCTATCTTGTTCACTGTTTTCTCTCCACGGTCCAGAATGAGACTGGACCAGGGCAGAGGAAGCCCTCAGGATGCCAATGTAATTAATCAGTGCAGGGTCCCTGTGCCCGCCCCTCACCACCATCCCCGTTTAAACAGCTGCCAGTTCCCCTGAGCTGAGCTCAGGAGGTCTCCAGTGGCCCTGAGTAGCCCCCTCCAGGGATTGGGCTCTCCAACTCCCGCTGCCCTGTGGGTGCTCACCGGCTGCTGGAATGTTGAGCCAGCGGTCAGGCTGGAGAGGAGGAGGAGCAGGAGGCAGGCAGCCCGGATCTGAGTGCTCAGTGTCATTGTGCCGTCCAGCTAGCTGTCCTGTTGTCAGGCCTAGGATTGCTCTGGCATCTGGGACCTCGTTCCAGTTGCTTTTATGGGGCTTGCTAGGGTAGGCGGTGTCTGAGCCCCCTCCCCTAACTCATTTCCAAGAAGGTGGTGGCGCCGAAAAGGCGGGAGATAAGCGGGAACAGAGTGACAGGGAACAGGGTTGTGTCACCCTCAGCCAGCAGAGGTATGTCCAGGGGGTGGGGCAGACAGGGCCACAGACACATGCCACTAGCCAGCTACCTGGGGGACATGACGTCATCATACTGATACCAGAAAAAAAAAATCCCCTTTTGCTGCAAAAGTTGAACAGCTGGGCTCTCCTCCACACACACCCCTTCCTGGCTGCCCTCTGTCATATGGAGCATGGCTGTCACTTCCTGGGCCCCTTGGAGTACTCAGCAGTGTATGGAGGGGTCCTCGTTGCTGTGGGTCCTCGTTGCTGTGGGGCTGTGGGTTCCCTTCACACATGCAGGTTCTGGCCAGGATCACTGGACAGCCAGGTGAGGGGAGTTCTGCGTCGGGTGGTGTTTTCCAGTGTCACAACCTTGACGGGTAGCTCTGATAACCGGAAAATGCTTGCACGAACTCTTGACCATAAAAGGTGGCAGTAACGGTACTGCCTAGGCGTGCCTCTGATGTGCCAGTGCATGCACGGATGGACCCCTTGGTGTCAGCCTGGGCCACCTGTCCTCAAGGCCGCTCCTGCCTGCCCCCTCCTAGGCTCCACTCTGCATTTAGGGGCCCTCACTGATTTCTTTGCCACCCAACCCCAAGGGCCTGGCTTCCAGAACCTGCTCCCTCTTGGCCTCCCCCACCCAGACTTGCTTCCTTTGGCCTATAGGAAAGGGACTGAAGGCAGAGATTAGGGCACGGAGCTTGCCCAGCCAGAGGCAGAGCTGGGACTGCAGCCAGATGCAGGCTGTGCTCTTAACCACCAGGCTTTCCTGCCACCCTGCTGCACTGTCCTCCGTCCTGCTGCACGGGGCAGGGCACGGTGGTGCTCAACAAGGCTTAGGAGAGCAGACTGCACATCCCAGACAGACGCCGCCTTCGGTGGCCTCATGCTAGCCCAGGGCCTTGTGGACAGGGGTGAACCAAGGCTGCCCAACCACGGCACCTCCATACCTCTCCACCACCTGGATGCACAGGGCCCAGGGAACCTAGAGACCTCGACTCGTGATGGGCCTCTTGCCCATGGGTGCCACTTTAACCTGATTCACACCAGGGCTACCCTGTGTCAACTGTCACCAGAGCCTGAGATGATGCTGTCAGGGAATGCACAGTTGCTGCCAAAGCCCACTCGAAACCACAATGGACAACCCCCAGAGAGTGACGGCTACTCCTGCCATCTGCTTCTCCACAGTGGCCAAGGCCAGCTGGGCACATTTGGGGTGAGGACAGGGTAGAGCTCAGCACAGTGACCAGACTGGCAGGCCGAGCCTGGGAGTGATGACATGTACAGGGGCTGCAGGGTGCCCACAGGGAGGTGACCCCACAGGGAGGCAGCAGCAGCCCCCTAGCCCTAACAGGTGTCACTGCATCTGGGTCCAGACCCGGTTTCATCATCGCTCAGGGCAGGGGTCACAGCACAGGCGCCAGAGCCACAGACCAAGGCGACAGGCTGACGGGCCAAGCCTGGCTTCCTGGCCATCTGCCCTTCCTGGGGGTGAGGGGCTCAAGGCCAGGCCCCACCATTGGCTGGTACAGGGGGGAGGGCTGCAGCCCAGAAGGGCAGGGCCAAGTGTCCTGTTTTCGGGAACTGATAACACAGGAGACCCCAGCCTCTCTTCCCTCAACATGGGACAGGTCCTTGACCCCAGCTGCCCCTGCCCCACCCCACATCTGCACACCTAGGGCCTCAAAGAGGACAGTCACTCCTCAATTCCTCTAGCTACCTAACCGACAGGCTAGGTGCTGGCTATGGGGGCCAGTGAGGCCAGCTGTAGCCCTCCACTCCACAGCTAAAGCCCTGTCCCGAGAGCCTAGAGACCCCAGACCGCTCCCGCTCCTCAGATGGACAGACACACAGACAGACAAGGCGGGGCCACATGGGGCCAGTTTATTGCAGTTAAATACCTCTCTCTCTCTATTTTTTTTTGTCCATTTTTCCATAAAGAAAATTAAAACACACACACGCACACACACACACCCAAAGGGGAGCAGGGGTCCAGAAACAAGAGGTGGGGAGGGCCATGGCCTCCCTGCTTAGGTCCGGGCCCTGGGGATGGGCCCCCAAAGGCTCCTCTCCTTCCCACAAGCACCCTGTCTCTACCTCTAGAGACCAAGGAGGCAGCGGATGTGGCAGGGCCTGTCCTCCTCCCTCTTGCCTCCAGGTAAGACCACGGAAGTGCCTGGGCTTGGTGAGGGCAGGAGAGCGGAGACAGACAACGTGGGGAGGGAAGATATCGTTTCCAAGTCGGAGGGTGGTGGGCACTGTATCCACAGAAATGCATTATTTCTCCCCGTTTTTCCTCCTTTTTTTTTTTTTTTTTTGTTAAAAATCTATTAAAAAAAACGCAGCTGGGGGAGGGGCGTCTGTCCCTCTCTGTGCTAAGGGCTGGGGAAGGGGCAGCAGAGCCGGCGTCGCGGCGGCACATGGGGCGTCACTGCCGGGTGCTCTCGCCCACCATCTCCAGGTTGTGCTGCTGCAGCTGGGCTCGAAGCAGAGCATTCTCGTTCTTCAGCTCCTCAATCTGGAGGACACGAAAGGGCACAAGGGAGCCAGGGGCTGGCTTCCCCGCCCCTGGGCTCCCAGCACCACCCCGTCTCCATGCCCTGGCACCCACCTGCTGCCTCAGGAGCTCATTGTCCATCTGCAGCCGCTCGGCCTCCTTGAAGGTCTCCTGCATGCGCTGGTTGGTCTGGCGTAGCTCCCGGATGTAATCGCAGGCCTTCGACAGGATCCCTCCTTTGCTCTGGGGGAACGGGGTGGGCAAGAGCATCGGTGAGCACTGGCCACTGCCCCTGCCTCCGGGCCACCCAGGACAACTCTTAGCCCGATGGTGGTCACTTTCTGGAAGGGGCGGGGGCCTGGGCCCACTGCAGCCATTGAGGATCGGGTGCCTCCCAGCCAGAGGGTCGGGCTGCTCACCGCTCCTGTCTTGCTGTTGTCTGCGTTACAATCTGGAATGATTTTTGAAAGCTGGACGATCCAGTTGTTGATCTTATCCCTCCGCCTCCGCTCCACTGCAGGGATAAAAGCATTACCAACGTTATGTTTCTAGCACCGACTCCAGGTCTAAACGGCTCACCTCCCAGGGCGGATGCTGTCAGACCGGAGGACACCGAGACAGAGCAGGGCGCAGGCCCCGCCCAAGGTCACGGCACCAGGAAGTGAGGGACCAAGGCTGGAGCTCAGACTCAAGCACAAGCTGGGTTCAGGAGGCTTCTCCCCGAGAACAGAGAAAGCCTGACCCTGAGGTGCCGCACACGATCAAAAGCTAGGGTTTGTGGCTTCATTCTGTTGCTCTATCCAGTAGAGTTTTTAAAATCTGAGGCAATGTTTAAAAATCAGGAAAATCACAGTATAACTTGCATCTTTGATATCGTCTGAAAATGGCATCTGATCGCAGAGGGCACACATGCCTGGGAGGCGAGAACAGGCCGGGCGCCCTCACAGGACCCCGCACCCACTCCAGAGGTGTCCCGGTGAGACCGAGAGCAGGGGGTCCTGTTAGGATGAAAAGGGCTGCAGAGATCAGGCCCCTTACTCTTCCAGAGCTTCCCCAGAGAATCTGGGCCCTAAGGTTGTAGCTTCCGTTTCATATTCAAAAGAATGCATTTCTCTGGATACAGTGCCCACCACCCTCTTATCTCAGCCTGCTTAAAAATCCTTCCTGGGGTCCTGGCAGCAAGTCCCAGCTCCCCAGACACAGGAGTGGCTGTCAGGGCCTGGCCCCACAGGACCTCGAAGGCCACGCAGAGCAGACTGGTGGGACCCCACTTTAGGCTTCGATTCCACAAATCTGTGTTCTCACTCGGGCTGTCAGTGAGCTGAGAAGCAGCTGTCCTTGCAGGCAGGCCCTAGCATGCCCCTTGTGGCCCCGCCTGGGTTCTGGATGCCCAGAAGCCTGAAGCAAGGCCACCCAGCCCCTCGCAGCACCAGGCACTGTGGGGACAGGAAGGAAGGCTGGGCTACTTGCAGCTCCTCACTCGCTGCCAGAATGGTTCAAGGCGTTCGTGGTGTCTGTGGGGAGGAGGAACTGGGACTTTAACAGGTAGGGTTTAGAAAGGAGGGGGACATTTTCCACGGGCCAGACAGTGCAGATGGGAGATTGGGGAGGGTCTGGTGAGGCTGAGAATGGAGAGCTGGGGAGAGCAGGCCCCTTGCTCTTCATATACCTGAGGTGGGCAGCCGCCACCCTGGCCCGTGAACAGGGAAATCTGCGGCTATGCAGTTGCCGTGGCTGCTGATCAGCCCTCCCTGTGTCCACACCCCCACCTCCTTTTCTTGCCACTCTTCTCTGCCCTCTTCTTTTCCCTGACATGCCCCTGACGCATAAGAATGGTGCCCAGGATGGTGCCGAGCTTCGTCCCAGTGTCCAGGTGGGCCCAGCCCAGGACCCAGTAAGTACCCATTGCTCTGTTATTAAGCACTGTCGACAGCTTGGCCAGACCTTGCAGGCTCTGGGAGCTCTGTGGCTGAAAGCGGTGGCAACACTAAGAGGCCAGACTAGGCAGGCAGCCCTGCCGGCAGCCTCTCAGCAGGGCACTCTGTCCCCAAGGCCCCTCTGCAGCCGGTTCTGCTGTGTGGCCCCCCGAGCCTGGGCGCTGGGCTGCAGCTCCATCGCACAGGTCCCCCTGCTCACTCCAAGCCGCAGGGCATGACGCGAGTGTGACGTATCTGCTTAGAAACTCACGGCCTGCCCTGTCGGCACCAGCCCTGGGCTCTCCTGCTGGTGCTCACAGCACCACCAGAAGAGTATGTGCACAGGTGACACCAACACCACAGCATGTGCCTAAGTGCCCAGGAGTGCTAGGGGTGGGCGATGGCTTCTGCACAGAGAGTAGTAGAATGAAGCTCCAGAGAAGGACTTAG